TGTTTGCGCCAGTGGTCGTAGTTAAAAATTTAAATTTATTATGGAAAATAATATTCAATTTTGATTAACAAATAAAATAGACAAAGAAAAAAAAGCAAACGAGAGAAACCAAGTATGCATAAAACTTATGCATCCGTCAATCCCAAGATCTGGAAGTATTCCTATTGGTCCAATATTTTGACGCCAAAATATTGGACCAACAGGAACACATACGGATCATCGGATTGACGGAAAAACGGATGCATGAGAAGTGAAGTTAAAGCAAAAGCCCGTGGAATCAGGGGCCAGATTCTCAACCTCTAGTCGCAAGCCTTTCTACGAGCGAGTTGGGACGTTACCTGTCGTCTGTCGACTAATGATTGATAATCCCACAGCAGGTGCAAACCTCCTACGTCAAACGAGAAACGATACGCTGCCACGTCATCATTGGTGGTTCGGCATGGTGGAGAGTTTGAGATTTGATTTCCCATTCAAAATTTATCGCTATATGACAAATCCTCAAATTTTTAGCAGCAGCATTTTTCAAGTACCGAGTTCAACTGAACTCAAGGTTGTTTGAGAGTTTGCGGTTTCTCAGGTCATCACCGGGTTAAGCATAATTCCAGGGTAAACATAATAGCAACTCAACTGGACACGCTTACCCTGGAGCTAAAACCAACCCGGAGGTTTGATTGTTGAGAAACCGGCCCGTAGGTTGGATAACTTTATGACGTCATCTGGGGTGCCCTAATATAATGCAAATCTCCATAAGGCAAGGATGATACACACTACTACTAAAGGATAGCCTATCCTCATGAGGCCTATGTGGAACAAATCCCGCTCCCCTCCCCCATACCAAGTCGCCAGTGTTTAGAAATGCGCCCCGCAGCGAGGAAATGTCACTTTTTGATGTCACTTGGGAGATGTATGGTACGACATTTGATAAAAATCACTAAAATATAATGTGAAATACCCTAAATATAACTAAAAATCTGCATTCTCCTTGGGCTGCTTGCACTACAGGTTGTGATTCCGCGGGCTTTTGGTTGGTTCTACTCAATGACTACATTACACATTCTGAAACAACTATTTTTACATCTCGTTTGCATCTTCCCATTTGCTTATTATGAGCCGGTTCTCAATAGCGAGTCACCTCCGGGTTGGTTTTAACTCCAGAGTAAACGTTCCAGTTGCAATGTTTACCCTGGAGTTATGCTTAATCCGGGGATGACTTGCTGAGAAACTGACCCTATAACCAAATTTTCGCGACGAATGTAGTTCATCCAAGGACGAACCATGGTTCGTCGGTGACGTTATGAGTTTGAACGCTGGCTAGAAGCTGCGTCCATGCTTCCGTCGAACTACGTTCAATATGACATCATCAGTTTCTCGCGAAAGCGTTTGTGTTCCAACGACGAACCATAGTTCGTCGGTGACGTTATGAGTTTGAACGCTGGCTAGAAGCTGCGTCCATGCTTCCGTCAAACTACGTTCAATATGACGTCATCAATTTCTCGCGAAAGCGTTTGTGTTCATGAAATCATGGAAGTAGTTCGTCGCGAAAATTCAAGGAGGCGAAAATTCTGTTTATATCAATCAAAATTAAAATAATATTCTCATCCATTCTCATTTCCATTATAAATTTAAATTAGGAACTACGACCGCTGGCGCAAACAGCTGATAACTTAGTTAATGACGCCGGCAATGTTGATACACCAATATGGCAGCGATTACCAAAAACGAGGCTGATAAGCCTGGTGGTGTGTATTATCCTTGGTCAAACAAAACCAACAAAACATCGTCCACTAGTTGTTTGGTCCAAGACGTAAATTGGAAATCGCCAATCGCCTGCGGTCGCCTGTAGTTTAACTCTACGTTCGGTATTTTGATCTGAGTTCTCCGAGCTTGAAATTACCGTTCGTTTATTCAAAAAGTGTGTTCGGAGCAGGATCATTCGCGTTCGTTTATTAAAATTTCAATGACATCTTTCCTTGCGTTCGGTATTTTGCTCAAAGAGCAGAGCGTGCTGAGCGGAGCCGTAATCACGTTACCAGCGAGCGAACCGAGCAGTTGAACGCTGTACGAGACTGCCCAAAATTTTAATAAACGAACGCAAGTGAGCCTGCACCGAATACACTTTTTAAATAAACGAACGGTGAATTCAAGCTCAGAGAACTCAGAGATCAAAATACCGAATGCATGCCGTGCGTTCGTTATTTTGGTCTGTGTTCTCCGAGCTTGACTTTACCGTTTGTTTATTCAAAAAGTGTACTCGGTGCAGGCTCATTCGCGTTCGTTTATTAAATTTCTGACACTTCTATATAGCGTTCAACTGCTCTGTTCGCTCGCTGGTCACGTGATTACGGCTCCGCTCAGCACGCTCTGCTCTTTGAGCTAAATACCGAACGCAAGGATAGATAGTTATAAGCCTAGTACTCATAACTGCGAAATTCGCATTTTTTTGACATTGCTTTGAAAATTTGACGTTTTATACGTGTATCAAACGTCAAATTGTCGAAGCAATGTCAAAAAAAACCGAATTTCGCAGTTATGAGTACTGCTTGCTATAGCGTTTAACTGCTCTAGTGCGTTCACCTGTTACGTGATTATGGCTCCGCTTCAGCGCGCTCTGCTCTTTGTGTAAAATACTGAACGCAAAACGCAAGATAAATGTTGGAGTGACGTCAAAAAATATGCTGTCGGCCGTCGGGATGGTCGGGATCATACCCGACAAAATGATTCTTCATGATTAATTTTTTCAAGTGAAGAGCTGGTAGTTATACCAACCAGAAATAAGACTAAAAACATCCCAGAAAAATTTCTTCGGTGGTAGGGTTACTTTTCATGCACCCGTTTATCCGCCAATCCGTTGATCCGGAAGTATTCCTATTGGTCCAATATTTTGGTGCCAGAATATCGGACCAATAAACCGGCACGTTGGTTCTTGATCAAGGACGTGAGAGACGGCCTACTCAAGCCAAGCAACGTGGTGTCGGGTTGGAGATTGGATGGGTGACCGCAGTAGTACGGGACGGTGGGTCGACCGCGCTGCCGCCAATCATCTGATCTCCAAGTATGAATGAGAAGTATGAATGAGAAGGAGTAGAGCCCATACGAGTGACATACAAAAAGCCTATAAAGGCTGCAGTGTAGAGTATGGGCTCGAAAGGGTGAAACCAAAAAAAAAAAAAAAAAAAATCGGACCAATAGGAATATTTCCGGATCAACGGTTTGACGGATAAACGGATGTATGAAAAGTAACCCTTAAGGGTGGATTTTCATGCATCCGTTTGTCCGACGAAATATGTCCGTAAAATCTTCTATTTTGACATATTTTTATACGATTAAAGCTTAGTACTCATAACTGCGAAATTCGCATTTTTTTGACATTGCGTTGAAAATTTGACATTTGACGTTTATACACGCATAAAACGTCAAATTGTCGACGCAATGTACTAGGCATATGTCAGAATCAATGAACTATAACCAAAAACTGGAATGCTAACAAATAAGGACGAACGTGAAGCCTAGTGCGGCTGCTGCGGAGGGGATACCTGTTTTTGTCGCACTCATTATGTTAAATGGCGAAAATTGGCTTCCAACACGTATTCCAATTGATGAAACCTGTGAAGGAAAATATGACAAAACATTCGAAAACGTCATATGTCAGCGAGCAACAGAAAAAGACAACATTCCCCGTTGTGGCATCTGTCTTTCATGGCTTCATTTTTTTGGCAGATATGGCACTGTGTGCGCATTCCAGTTTTTAGCTCTAGTTCATTGGTCAGAATAGAATGTTAAACGGACATCATTCGTCGGACAAACGGATGCATGAAAATCCACCCTTATTCACATGCACAGCTCAAATTATGTCATTCGCCGTATCAGCTTTGACTATAGTCAGAATTTTTTTTACTATAGTCAGAACATAATAGGCCTGTTCGCACAGCAATCACAAACCAGTCAGAGCGAATTTCATTGGTTGAAAACAATCAGAAACAGTCAGAAAACTATTTTCAACCAATGAGATTCACTCTGACTGGTTTGTGATTTGTCTACGAACAGGCATAATATAGGCTGTTGATTTGTACTTGCTCTACCTGCGCGAAAATTGAAAAGATCTGCTAGGAGCTGCTATTTATGAACTTATATGGGCCGTGGAGCTTATAATATACGGGACAAGAGAACGGCAATTTGCTGAGATCTGCTTGAAGCAAGAAAAGCAGTACAAATAAACACCCTGATATATATTTTTAAAAAGCTAGTGGCGCCCACCGTATGTTCGCGGTTCAACTAAATAGAATCGCTTCTTAACTATTTCTTGTTCGAGTTCCTAGTTTTCGTTTATTGTTCCGATTCCGTAATCATTCGCGGTAAAATAGAATCCAGAACTAGGCCTGAAACCATAATTCGATAGTCTATTATTAGGTACTTTTGTACGAATTTGTTCCACCGAGCGTCAACACAGCCATAAGTGTACCATGTCAAGCCAAATAAACTCCTTCAAAAGTACGACGATAAACGATAGTATCGAATCGTGGGTTCGGTATCCGGGCCGTTTCTGTGGGATTGGATTGAAATGCAAATGGAGCCGCGTTCTTTCCACATTTAGAGTGAAGCCTAGTACTCATAACTGCGAAATTCGCAATTTTTTGACATTGCTTCGACAATTTGACGTTTAATTCACGCATAAAACGTCAATTTCAAGAAATTGCAAATTTCGCAGTTATGAGTACTAGGCTTGACTCCGAAGTCTTTTTGGGAACTACTCCGAATGATTCCGAACAAATAGATCCGGCTTTGTGACTCTTAAAAAGAACGCGGTTTGGTTCGGAATGTGACCCGCGAACCGCGAACAAGGCTATATGAAATGAATGAAAAATGATGTCGTGGATTGTCTCCAATGATTGTCTCTTACCTTGCGTTCGGTATTTTGCTCAAAGAGCAGAGCGTGCTGAGCGGAGCCGTAATCACGTGACCAGCGAGCGAACAGAGCAGTTGAACGCTGTATAAAAGTTTCAGAAATTTTAATAAACGAACGCGAATGAGGCTGCACCGAGTACACTTTTCAAATAAACGAACGGTAAAGTCAAGCTCGGAGAACTCAGACCAAAATAACGAACGCACGGACAATAAAATTGGAAATTGTTTTGGAAAATTTACGCAACATATCTGTGTGGATTTCCCTCACTCATCTTCCCCTTCCCCATTCCTCCACCTAATTTGTTTGGTGCATTGCGCAAGTTTGGAACCCTGTATGGTGTGATGTGTGAGTACTTTTTAATTTTTTTTCCACTCTCTAGTTTTCAAGCTTTCATCACAATCAAATGTGGTTCTTACTGGTGCCGAGTTGACGTGTACGTACCGCAAAAATAGAGGTTAGTTTTTAAGTCAAAAAGCAAAAAAAAGTTGTGTTTTGTGTGTTTACAAGTGTAGTTGAAGCCAAATAATGACGATTCAAGTTGAACCCAAGAGTACCAGTACCGGCGACTGTTGTCCAGCCAGCAACGGGTCCATAAATCTACACAAAAATGGTCTGAACAATCGCTGCTTCGTTGAAACTAATCAGCAGCCACAAAACAAACAAGCAAAGACCAAAATCCTTAGAGAATCTTACGAACCGCCCCCATTTTTGACTGCCATCCTAACACAAATCAGCTTCTCGTTAATAATGTTGCTTAGCTTCATTAGTCAGTTTTGTACGAAACTCTTCTACCCGCCTAAAGTCATCGAAGAAAAAGGACGGTCCGGATATCCACCTCTTTTTGACCGATTCTCAATGTTCTATTCGAGATATGTTTACAGAAGAATACGCGATTGCTGGAACTACCCCATTTGCAGTGTACCGGGGAGTGAAGTGACCCTTAAAGACCGCATCACAAACGATTATTGTTGGACCTTTGAATTCACTGGCACAAAAACTAAATGCCTCAATTTAGCTTCGTATAATTATTTGGGCTTTGCTGAATCGTCTGGACCGTGTGCTGAAGCGGCGATTGCTTCAATTTACAAATATGGCATAAGCACTGGTAGTACGAGAACTAAATATGGCACAGTGGATCTTCATAAAGAATTGGAACAACTTTTGGCTGAATATTTAGGTGTTGATGATGCAATTACTTGTGGTATGGGCTTTGCAACTAATGCCTTAAATATTCCCAGTTTAATTGAACCTGGTTGTCTGGTTATAAGTGATGAAAAAAATCACGCAAGTTTAATCTGGGGGATTAAAATACCTGGGGCGACTGTTCGAGTGTTCAAACATAATGATATGGAACATTTAGAAGAAGTTTTGAGGCAAGCGATATATTTTGGTCAACCCAATCAACCTGATGGTGCCTTCAAACATTGGAAAAAAATTGTTATTTTTGTTGAAGGTGTTTACAGTATGGAAGGCACTATAGTCAAACTGCCTGAAGTGATTGCGCTTAAGAAAAAGTACAAAGCATATCTTTATTTAGATGAAGCACATAGTATTGGTGCTATGGGCAAACACGGTAGAGGCATACTAGATTATTTCGACTGTGATCCAAAAGACATTGATATTCTTATGGGAACATTTACAAAAAGTTTTGGAAGTGCCGGAGGATATATTGCTGGCTCCAAGGAACTTGTCACATATCTAAGACAAGTTAGTTTAGCTTCTTGTCAAGCTTGGGCCATGTCTCCACCATTAGCAGCACAAATTATAGCAGTATTAAAAATCCTGATGGAAAAAGATGGCACAAACGAAGGACAAAGACGCATCGAAGCTTTAGCTAGGAACACAAGATATTTTAGAATGAGGCTGCATCAAATCGGTGTAATAATTCACGGCAACGAAGATTCCCCTGTGGTACCTATTTTGGTTTATTTATACTCGAAAATTGCAGGAGTTGTGAGGACATTGATAAAAGAAAAAATTGCTACTGTTGGTGTTGGGTATCCAGCAACGCCTTTATATGAAGGCAGAATTAGAATCTGCTTGTCAGCAGGACACACCAAAGAGCAGCTCGATTATGCTTTAGGAGTGATTGAAAAAGTTGCTGATGATATTGGCCTTAAATATTCTAGAAAGCCTAAAGATCTCACTCCAATCAACTATGATGACATTAAAGTTTATCAAGAATAATTTTTGTTTTGTAAACTAATTTTCCTGCCTGATGCCTATTGCAAAAAATATTGATTTGTTATTATTGTTAATTTGCCAGTATTCAATTTTATATTCCCAATCATTTTCTGCTGTTTTTTATCTAAATGGCCACATTAATAGAAATACACAAACATGTTTTCTGATTAAATAATTAATTATATGTTTACTGACTGTTATGAAAAAAGTGATACCTATTTGAAACAAAAAAAGGTGACCTTTTTGTTACATATACACCTATGCTTTGTAGAAATTATTCCTTTTAATAAATATTTTAAATGTTATTTAATTTAATCTTTATTTAATTGAAAGTTTCAGGAATTCAATTTCAGAAAATAATTGTATGCGATTAAGCATTCAAGTAAGTATTGGCTGATTTTGGTAAAGTGATTAGATTTCCTATAGGTATAATTTGTAACACTACTAGAACTTTCAATATAATTGTAGATGCAAAAGAACTTCACTCTATAATTAATTCTATATTTATTGAATAAAATAAGGTATTGTAAGAATTTAATAAATTAAAATAAAATCAATAGAAGAGTTTCGAAAATTGCACTTTTATTACATTACTACAACTGTTTGTGTTCAAATTTCAAAGCAAATTTAAAATATATCTATATATTTTGTTGGTATCAAAATTTTGAAATAAATTATTAGATAATGTTGAGATAATAAAAATAATATTGCCCTGCAATCAGCCAATCAATCATTGCAGTGTGGTCTTGTAAATTTTAATCCTATTGTTTACAAATTTTATTAAAAAAATAATTGTTCCTAACTTTTTTCTTTTCAGCTTGAGGGCGCTGTTTGTATTCAATTCTTTCTTGCTGTTTATTCCTTGGATGTCGTCTCCCCAACACTTGTCTTGATTTTCATACTATGAGTCTGGTGTTTCTTATTGCCACTTTACCTGTAATGTTCTCTAGAGCAAGCAAAAGGAAATTTGTATATTTTTTTTCCTACATCTCATTAATTTCCCTCTCGTCTTGTGAAATTTAAATTCAATCCATAAAATAAAACGTCAATGTCGTTTTTTGGAAATTTTATTTTTTTCAACACAACTTTGACACACATTTAGCTTCAAATCTTTGTCAATTTTAATTCGATCTCAACGTTATTAGATTCATTCCAAGGCCAATTGAATACTCTACAAATCTTTATTGAATAATTTCAATGCAGCTTCAATAGATTCACAGCTGCGAAGCTCCAAAGCTCGATTTTTATCAAGGTGTAAGCAAAACAAAGGGATATTTTTATTTATTTTTTCCTTTATTTCATTCATCTTTCAATCACTCTGTGATTGATAATTTAATTCAATCCCTCAAATAGTTTCCTGAATAAAAAAAATAAAACGTTCCTCAATGTAGTTTGACTTTTTTTTCAGGATTGAGAAAAACCCCAGTTTTTGAAATTTTCTATTGTGTTTCTGGGGTTGTTGTTATAGTTTTTGTTGGGTTTTTGTGTTTACTTGACTAAACAAAATTGTATATTAGTTTCCACAGTTTTGCATCTGAAAAGCTTCAAAATTGGAATTATCGAACATTGAAATTTTTCTAAAAATCAGAATGAGACAAATTTTGCCTCACAAGTTCCTTTAAGTTTCAACCGATTTTGACGCAGTTAAGCTCTAATTAGAAACAATTGAATTCTCTACAAACCTGATAATTAGTATTTCAATTTAGCTTCAACAGTTATGCAGCTGAGATTGCTGAGAAGCTTCAAAATTGAATTTATCAAACATGGAAAATTTTCCAAAAATGATACTGAGACAGTTTTTGCCTCATAACTCTTTTAATTTTCATCTGATAAAAAATTGAGATTGAATTTTCAATATTTTGGGGGAGGCTTAGCCTCCTCTGACGAGCCGCCAGTGCTCACAGCTGCTTCAATTCTCCATTAAAATTTTAATTTAGTTTTAACAGTTTTGCTGCTAAGACGCTTCAAAATTAAAGTTATGGAACATTGAAGGTTTTCCAATAATGACTGAGACAGTTTTGGCCTCACAGCTCCCAAAAATTACACTAAAACAGTTTTTGTCTCACAGTTCCTTCAATTCTCATCCAATTGCAACGCAGTTACACCTCTAAATTCGAGCCAAATAAATTCTATACAAACCTGTTAATTATAATTTTAATTTAGTTCTAATAGTTTTGCACCTGAAAAACTTCAAAATTGAAATTATCGAACATTGAAAATTTTCCAAAAATTACACTGAAACAGTTGTGAGACCCCAAATTCAAAAACTTGGCAACATGGTACATTGGCGAGCGGTGACTTTAGTTTCTGAGTGGAGACAGTTTAAAATGGGTCCTATTTGCGGGTGGAGAGTGAAACACAGAAATATTGTGGTCAATTAAAATAAAGTTTATTTTATTAAAATAAATAATGCTTGTTATCAAATAACAGACGTCGGTAATAAATAATCTTACAATAAATTTGTTAAATTTCTAATAAGCATCAATTAACTGTTAAGGAAAATTTATATGATTCCAAGTAAAAATTTTTATTTACAGTTTGACTCGATTCACACTCTTGCCTTTTACAATTTCTGGCTGAACAAAAAAAAAACTCTACTTACATTTAACTATAATATATTTACTGCTGGCCAAGCGCTGTTATTTCACGTCGTGCTTCTTCTCTCGGTTCATTCGACAACTCTTTCATGCCGACTTTCTGGACACAGGTCTCTCCATTCTCGATTACTACTTGTTTTTTGATTACTCAACCGACGCTGGTCTTTCACGCCGTAGTTCTGCCGGTTTACTCGCTCTTTCTCGAACACTCTTTTCTCGAACACTGATTTCTCCTGCCAAAGTTGCCTTTCCATTGTCTTGAATTTCTTTATTTTTTCTGACCTCGATTTTTCGTGGTTGAATCATCCGATCAATTAGTGTATTTGGTCCCCTTTTAATTAATTATCAAGGGCGTCGCTAAGTGGTTTGTTAAGTGAGTATCATCATATAGGCTCGTGCATGATTTATTGATCCTTTTAGAAATTTTTCAGCTGCCTTGGAATGGTAATTGTTTAGAGCACTTAAAAAAAATGGTCCATGAACTTTTGCTTTATTCATATTCCAATGTATTAGTCAATATAGAGGGTATCAGCTTTCAATAATTTCTGGATATCGATATTCAAATAATTTTTAATTGAAGTTTCTCTGTCTAAGTGATGATCTCTCCTGGGATGGTTGTTTGGTAACTCCTTGTTATTCTTGATTAATTTTCGGTATAGTTGGATCCTAGGCGCGTCACTACATGTGCACAGTTTTAACTTATTATCTATTTCAGAGAAAGAGGGAGATTTATTGGCAACCAAATCATTCAACCCACCGTGGATATTGATAAAATCTTCGATATTGATAAAATCTTCAAGAGTTAAGTTTTTTGTTAAAGCCAATACATCTTCTATTGCAGCAGAAAAGAAAGCCCTGGGTTTAATATTAGAGAAGACATGATAGCTGTTATAGTATATTTCCTAACTAGTGCGGGAAAGAGACTTTCCGCACGAGTTAGGAACACCATTTTTTCTACGAGATGAAAGTTAATATTTTTATTTACAATCATACATGTAATGTTGACTTTACTGACTTTTAAAAAGTTCGAAAATGTCACTTTTTTGACTTTTACTTTCGGCCCACGGGTCGAAAGTTTACTTTCGACCCGTGGGCCGAAAGTAAATGAAATTTTTAAAATTTATTGTATTTTTTGACTTTTACTTTCGGCCCACGGGTCGAAAGTAAACTTTCGACCCGTGGGCCGAAAGTAAATGAAATTGTTAATTATTTGTTTTTTAGTTTTAATTCAAATGAAAATTTCAAAATTCGAATGATTGTAAATAAAATAGTATACATACCTCGGTGAAAAGTTTCATTACTGTCTCGAGATTTCAGTTAGACCTCGACTGCGCCTCGGTCTAACTTAAATCTCTCGACAGTAATGAAACACTTTCCACCTCGGTATGTAATATACTATTACCTACATACATGGGTGTCCCACGGTGGATGGCGTATTAGACGTTTATGGAGAACTAAAAAGCGGATCATTTTGAAAATTTAGCAACCGGAATAAATGACCGTGATCTACACTTTAAAAATATTTTTGTTTATGCGGTGTTGCCGCTTCTACTCTAAACCAGTGGCAACATCGCTATTTTAAATGAAACACCCCGTATTTAATTGCATATTTGGCTTCTACATAAAATTCTGAGCAGATTTCATGTGATATACTTACCCTATACCCAAGTTCAACTGTTTTGGAAATATTGACAGTTGAAAATTGACTTTTTGCAACTTTGACAGGCTGTAAAACCTGAACGGTTAATTTTAGAGAAAAACCGATTTTACATTCCTATCTTAGATTTTTATAAACTATTACTTGACACCAATTTTGAATTTAATCCATGATTAAAAATTCCAATTAAATTTAATCTCCGGTTAAATTCAAAGTTGGTGTCAAATGATAGTTTACGAAAATCTAAGATAGGAATGTAAAATCGGTTTTCCTCTGAAATTAACCGTTTAGGTTTTACAGCCTGTCAAAGTTGCAAAAAGTCAATTTTCAACTGTCAATATTTCCAAAACAGTTGAACTTAGGTATAGGATATATCACATAAAATCTGCTCAGAATTTTACGTAGAATCCAAATATGCAATCACATACAGGGTGTTTCATTTAAAATAGCGATGTTGCCACTGGTTTAGAGTAGAAGCGGCAACACCGCATAAACAAAAATATTTTTAAAGTGTAGATTATGGTCGTTTATCCCGGTTGCCAAATTTTCAAAATGATCCGCTTTTTAGTTCTCTATAAACGTCTAATACGCCATCCACCGTGGGACACCCTGTATTTATCAATTTAAGATATTTTTTTCATTTTTTCGTACCTGTGCCTGTAGTATACCTGTATTGTATACCTGTAAGTACCTGTATACCTAAAAATTTCAGGTATACTACTTTTCCGCACTCAGTGCGGAAAAGTGGTACTTTCATGACCTAAAATGCGTGCGGAAAAGCACACTTTTCCGCACGCTCATAGAAAATAGTTATTTATGTAACAAGTGTGTAAAGTGAACCTTTTTTCACGAATGTGAATTTTGACGCACGAGCCGGAGGCGAGTACGACAATCACATGAGTGAAAAAAGGTCCTTTACGCACGTATTGCATACAAATTTTTTACTACTACCAATCAAATATGTGTAAAAAAATAGATTTAGACAAATAGATCACGCACTATAGTGCGTAAGTATTTTCACTTTACGCACTAGCGCGTGAAATAATTTACCAGAAAAATACTAAATTGACAGTGTCGACATCTGTCATTGACATTACTTTACGCACTAGCGTGTGAAGTGAAATACTTTACGCACTAGTGCGTGAAGTGTAATTTTACGTCTTTTAAATAGTGCGTAAAGTGAGCAATTTACGTACGGTAGTAGAAAAAAACTTTTTTCAATGACAGATGTCAACACTGTCAAATTAGTATTTTTCTGGTAAATTACCTCACGCACTAGTGCGTAAAGTGAGAATA